GGGGGTATGAATTTTAAAAAGGCGGGGGAGGGGGACAAGAGGTCCAAAATTAATAACCGGGGGTGGGGTGTGCAATAAAAAGGGGGGGGGGGCACATTCAACCTCATACCCCTGTACTAATAATAGGAAAAGATCTGTTTTATTTCTCCTTCATAATATTTAATAAAAGAACAAGTGATAATGACATTTTATTGACTGTAGTAAGTTACTGTGGCAACTTTTCCCCATTTAGGAACAAACAAGTTTCATTAAAAAAATAAACCAATGCACAAAAGTTTTTTAAATGCACAGAAAGTTGAGGTAGCCAACCCGGTACGGTACGTTTACAGAACGTACTTTGCAATTTACAACAAAAAAAGAAGTTTCATTCAGATATCTATATTCTAGATATAGAAATCTAGATAGATCTATAATAATATTTCACATGATCGTTGGTTCCTATAAATAGCATATTCCCTCTTAAACATGTGGTATGTGTCAATATCCTAACACATTCAATAATTAAAAATGATCGTCAAGGAAAATTTATGCAGCAGGACCGAGATGTCTCGAGGAGGACCCATAATCTCGCCATAACAGTGATTTTGAAGAGCAGTAGAGGCCCTCACCACATTAAACTTAAACGTAGATGTGTCATATAACGCAACAGATTTCTTCACACGGCATACATTTTCGCATGCAACAAACCCCCTCACCACTCACCGCAATAAACATTCACTGACGTAATGAGAATCCTGCACCTGAACAACAGTATTAGTAATGTCACAGGCTTATGCACTCAATATGCAGTAGAACACCCCACGATAAATTATTAATAAACAGTTCAGCATTTAGGCCTACGACAAAACACTGCACTTTTCGTCACGCAATGACATTCCTCACCATAATTTCGTACTTGATAAATCAATAAATTCTGCACTTACCTTCTGCTGCAAGCAGTTGTGGCGATTATATTATATCAGACTCCGGAGCTGGTAAAATCACACGAGGCCACGGTGTGCTTACAATAACAACACTGACACCGCTATTGCTAGTCGTCCTACTACTGGTCTAAACCTACACCCGTCACAGCACCACAACACAGCAAGACAGACGGGGCTGACCGCCTGGTTAAAAGAACTCTTGTTGTAGTAAAAGAGCAGTCAGTCGATTCTTTCGCAGAAACAGGTCCAGTATCACGGCTCCTTAGCTCTACCTCTTTCCTCCCTACTCCTACACAATGCCGCGCTGACTGCTGCCGATTTTTGACGCGAGCCAGGCCAGGTGGCCCCGCGAGCGAGACGCGCGGTGAAATCGCTACCCACCCGACGAGAGGGGACGGAAGGGGGAGGGGGAAGGGAGGAGGGGGGTTAAAAGTTATGAAAGAGGCGTTGGGTAAGAGTACAAGTTGAAAAGAGTTAGGGGTGATAAATGGATAAGTTGTGTTTTTAATTTTCTTAAATTTTATCTTGACGATTCTCCCTTACTCACACATTTTGGAGAGATGTGCGTGCACTCAATGGTCCGAAACCAAGGATGTTATAAATGTATAGAATTTCAAGGTCCTTGTCTGAAACTATCAACTCGTAAACACACTTATGGCGCTTACTCTTTTCTGCTGCTAATGTGTATTGATTGCATGGTTGGTCGCGTGCATAATACACTTTTCAAAAGGATGACCGTACTTTTCTAAAGGATGACCTTACTGAAAATGTTTTGCGTCCCTATTGACACAATTAAGTTAGTTTTAAAAGACAGACTCATATTATGTCCCTTCATGACGCAGGGACCACCTCCCAATGTTTGGTAGGACAAGGAGCGGTGTTCGCTAAAATAATAAATCAACTCACTTGCGATAGAAAAGAACTCATGTCTGTCTCAAAGAGAAGAGCCTGGCTATCCTTCCACGAACGCAAGCAATCAAATTTCGAAGATATATTAGAAAAGGATAAAAGAATTTCTTTTAGAATGACAAAAAACAAACAAAAAACATCAGAAGTTCATTCAATGTAGTTGGCTCTATTGCGTAACGTAACGTTTTATTCTCTTCTGACTTCAACATTAATACATTTGGACCAAGTTTTTGTTGAGCGATTCATTGAAAATGTTTAAAC